CTCTCTCTCTCTCTCTCTCTCTCTCTCTCTCTTCCTCTTTCTGTCTCCATTTCTTCTTTGCTCTCTCTTTCTCTCTCGCTCTCTGTCTATCTTTATTTCTCTCTCCATTTCCCTGTTTCTCTCAGCGCCGCGCTCTGAGAAAAAACAGCGGCAGTGATGGAGGATGAATCGTGATGGAGCTTTGCGCGAAACTCGAGCAGTGTCGCATTAGCAGGGGGATAAGAAGCCTCTATAATTCTTTTATTGGATAACTGCTGAGTGTTAGTTGCGGCGGCGGCGCGGCATGGGTACGCTGCGGGGACCTCAATCAACGCGTCACGGCTGCACTCGGCGTGGCAGCATCAAAAGGAAAGAAGAAAAAAGACCCGCATTCGCTAATCATGTAGAACTTCAAATGGTTAAAGTTTTCGCGAGATTACGCGAGGTTTGCCGCGCAGGATTTACGCAGGAGACGACGATGGCGGCTGAAGATTCCCGCACATGCGCACAACCGTCATGAATAAACGAGATCCGGCATACACCCGGGCAACGTTGAAAATTCATCACCGGATATAACGTGAGATACAACCGGAAGTACGCCCCGGAACTAGCATCTGAAACGCGCGCCCTTTACCGGCGCGTAGAACGAGGTAGTAGTCGGCAGCACGGAATAGATATCATGGGTTCAGCGACGAAGTATAAACCACGTCCGCAGTTCTTCTATCGCGTTTTGGAACCACGTATAGACTGTCGCTCGCCGCGCGCCTTTTACCCCGGCGCTGCGTGTGAGGGACACTGTCTCATGGCGTAGCGACAAGCGACAGTCTCACCGCGACCTCTGCTCTCGCGTTAAGGCAATAACGGATGTTGTCCTGTCATGAGCAGGCTGCGTCCGAAGAAGCTCCTTTTGGGAAATGATGTCGTTCTCTCTTCTTATTCTGAGCCGATTTCCCTCGTCACGCGATCAATTCCTGCGCTGCACGTGTGCCGAATGCAAATGGCCGCCACGTTGTCTCGGCGACATAGGGGCCGCTGCGAGCGGCAGACTCAATCGGCATGTTCTTTCTTCTTTTGCGTTCGATTTAGCCGCGAATGCATTGCAATAAGTTGATTTGCACTTAAGTGCATTCACGCGCACGCACATGCACACACGTACACGCACACTCGCCCAGTATACGCGTGCACGCACACGCGCGTGCAAAAAACTGCACATACGCATGTCCAACGATCAATTGTGTGGCGATTAACTGTTTGCGAATTCCGTTAGCGCGTGCGAATGAGGCTGTGATGTCGCTAACAACACACGCCACGCCACACGCGCACGCACAAACACATACACACACACTCACACACACTCACACACAGCAGGGGCGGATCCAGGGCTGAGGCTAGACAGTATTTTTCCAGATTTTAAGGGCACATCCCCCAAGAATGGCACACCACCCCACAGTGAGCGCCGTCAGGCGCGGAGCACATGGCGGGGGGTCTGGGGGCCCTCCTCCAGAAAATTTCTTAAATTTCAGAGGGTCCCCTGGCACAAAAAAGCAGCACGCATTTGAGCACTACATTTAGTCAAGCCAAGCAATAGCTAAAAACCATATGGAATTTTACTTTCTGCTTCATTTGCCTGCCTTTGCATACCAGCAATTAATGCACAACTCGATTACGAAGCAACGAATTTCCTTCTTTTTCCAGGATTATCAAAAGCAGTTTTGTACCAGTTAAAAATTGTGTGATTTCCTTCAGATCCTGTCAATGAATCAGAAGCAAAAAAACCAAATAAAACTATAGCCAATTCCCCATCAAATATGTTTCTGTAATTTTTGTATTTTCTGAAAATTTTGAAGCACTATTGCAACAATCTAGACGCAGTAATTTCCCAATACGGCAAATAGGTCTGAATCCGCGCCACTGCACAGACACCAACACACACATCTTGCGCCACACACACACACACACACAACAACCACACACACACCCGCCGCCGACACACACCATGGCACACACATCACACACACCACACACACACACCCCACACACACAAACACACAAGGGATCACCACACACACACACGACACAGCACATCACACACTCCTCTCTCTTCTCATCCTCTCCTCTCTCTCCTCTCTCTCTCTTTCTCTCTCCCTAATCACATCCCACTCAACTACCCACTCTCACCCTCACAGCGCTCATAACACATGTAGCGGCGTACTTACAGCCTTGCAGTATGTTCTCAAGGCTTGACGTGGAGCTGTGATCGTCACGCGTCGGCAGGTAGCGCGCGTGTGCCACCCGAGAACAAATGAGCAGCGCTACGGCGCTGATGGCGAGCAACCTAGACACGTGTTGCCAGATACTTGCTTGCTTCTCTCTGTTAACTGTCCGCACTGTCTGTCTTATAGTCCTGTCTGCCGAGAGAAAAAGAGAGGTGGGAGTTACACGGCTGTTTACTGTTGCTTTTCTGTGGAGATAGCGTGAACGCGGTTGGTTCGTGAAGGAGAGAAGAAGGAGAGAGATATGCAGATAGATAGATCGGCCGCGCGCGCGCGCAGCTGTGTGTGTGTGTGTGTGTTGTGTGATGTGTGAATTGTGTGTGTGTGTGTGTGTGTGTGTGATTTGTGTTTGTGTGTGTGTGTGTGTGTGTGTGTGTGTATGTGTCTGTGTGTGTGTGTGCGCGCGCGTGTGTGTGTTTATGTGTGTGATAATAGGGTGTAATGTGCGTGGCGAGCGATCGAAATCGCTTAGCGCCGAGATTACGAGAGTCTTGAACGAATTAGTTCGCGCAACACGATGGAAGTAATTGCTCTCAGTGAAAGATTTACGAATGTAAGTAGCCAGGTGTGTGTGCAGGTGAGCGGGTAGATAGGTGCGACACTAGCATTGCAGGTATGTGGGCTAGGTAAGTAGATGCATTGGCAGGTAGGTGCTAGACCAAAATTGTATGTGCGTTGGTCACGAAATTAAGTAGGTGGTGTACAAAGGCGCGGGAGCTAGAATTGTAATTACAAACATGAATAAGTTTATACTTGGGTGTGTGTAGATATAGTTAACAGCTTAACAGAAGTTCAGGACCCGGTTCCACAGACGTGGATTAACTTTAACTCTGAGTTAAAGCTAACTCTGAGTTAAACTCACTAACTCTGCATAAGTTAGTAAACTCCGAGTTAAATTTGGGTTTCATAAACATTGATTAAATCCTGAGATAAGTAACTCAGAGTTAAATGTTTTAACTCAGAGTTAGTATCCCATAATTCCACGTAGTTAGAACAGATGAACACGACAGACGCATTATAGAACCCATGAGCTAGAGCGCCATCTGTCGTAGAGTTTGGATAGACGCATGATAGACGCATAGACGATAGACGCATGATAGACGCATGATAGACGCATGATAGACGCATGATAGACGCATAGACGATAGACGCATTATAGGCGCACGAACATGGTAGAATGTGTAAAAAAAAAACATGGTAGAAGGTGTAGTAATGAAAAAAAGTTATAATGAAAACCGGCAGCGATAAATAAATGAGGGAAAATCTTTTGCCTCGGGGATATTGAACCCGCGACGCTCGCGTCATTAGAACTATGCTTTAAAACGTCATTAGAACTACGCTAAACGTTTCTACGCTAAACTACGCTAAACTGCGAAGAGGAAAATCTGCTGAGAGGAAAATCTTTTGCCTCGGGGATTGAACCCGCGACGCTCGCGTCATTAGAACTACGCTTTAGAACGTCATTAGAACTACGCTAAACGTTTCTGCGCTAAACTACGCTAAATTACGCGTCATTAGAACTACGCTAAACGACGCTTTAACAGCTGCGGATATTGCAAAATCCCTAGATATTTTACATTTTCCCGTATTATCATAGTACGGATGCCGGGATCAGTGTTGGTACGCCATCAATGGCCGACCAATGTACAACAAACGTAAACAAACACCGTATGTTCCAGCGCCAGCGGGGGATCGGACACGGGGCTGTACTAGATAAACTAATTAGTTCTAGTACTATCCTGGAGCTAAACTAACCTCGTAGAAAATAGTCTTCAAAGTCTAAAGGATTATACCGAAGACTCTCTATAACTAAATCGAATGTAACTTAATTTTTAACCCTAATCTAATTTTGGTTTAATCCAGATGAGACGGGATACTAGAGAAGCATTGCCGAAAGGAGGTGTTGATCCGAAGCGCTCAGCGCAGATCTTGCGCGCAGTTCCGCGGCAAGGCGCACGCAACCGCGGGAACTCAGAGTTAGGCATATTTAACTCAGAGTTAAAGTTAATCCACGACTGTGGAACGGAATTGAACTTTGAGTTAACTTTTAACTCAGAGTTAAGGAATTTCACTCAGAGTTAAGAGTTAATTCACGACTGTGGAACCGGGTCCAGTTATTTAGTTTTAGGTAGGTATAAACAAGCAGTCAGGCACGTGGGCAGGCGCGCACGTTGCAGGGTGGCATGCAGGCAATCGGGAAGGTAGGTAAGTGTCTTGCTAATTCCTACATCACATATATCCCGCACGTACAAACCTCACGCCGATTCTCCAGGGAAGTTACTTGGGCACATACACGCAAGCATTGCATATCTATGCATATATATATATATATATATGTATATAGGGGTTTATATATGTATATATATATATACATGCTCGTTCCGAAACGTAATGGAGTCAATAATGATGGCTAATCGAATAAGCTTGGCCCGAGGGCTGAGGTCTGGATATGCGCCGACGATAGTTACATATGTGCAACGATCATGAGAATCTCTAATGCGATTATCCACCTACCCCTTCTCCCCCTCTCTCTCTTTCTCTCCCTTTTCTCTCTCCCTCTCTCTCGCTCTCTCCCTTCTCTCTTCTTCTTCGCTTAGTTCTCATCTTCGCGTCGGAAAAACTCACCCCTCCTCCATGTTGGTTACGATTGTTTAATGCAATTATTTACCAAACCGCAGCGTCGGTGGAGCCTTGCCACCTATCGGACTAGCTCCCATCCCTGCAGCAGGCGGCTCCCTGACCGCGCCCGGGTACGGGGTGGGGGAGGGCTGCAAACAGCAATCATCTCCCTAATTCGTTTATGCGTATATATGTTCGTAACGTAATTACGGCCGCCGCTCGGCTGGCGCTCCGATCCTCGCCTAATGAACTTTGTTGGCGTTATGAATTATTGAGGAAGAAGAAATCGACGCGGTCTCCTCCCGCCCCGCCCTTCTCCCGCCGGGCCCTTCTCCCCCGCCCGCCGGGCCCACTCCCGGGTATATATATATACATATATATAGGTGAGATGCGTAGATAGGTATGTTAGTTAAACATTAGCAGGAGCTAATAATGACAAATTTGTCTTTATTAACTCCTGCCATTAGGTAGGTTAGTAAATATAGGTAGACATCTAGATAGGGAAATAGGTAAGTGGTCGGAAAATGCTAAACACACTTGAAGTAAACACAAGCGCTCATATCTACACAGACAGGACGCGCACATACACGTACACACCTGCACGCGCGTGGCACGTGAACGCGCGCGCGTAAATATATCAAAATACTTGGTTGTTTATTTATTTATGATCGAACAAATTGCTTCCCGCGATTTAGAGTAAAAACGGCGTCTGCGAATGCGAGTGAGAATCCGCTTATGCGGATGCATTTTGGAACTAATCTACGTTGCAACGATTATTGGTTGAGTAATGCAGCTGTGACTGCCAACGCGACCATATCGACTCGACTGCACGCATACCGGACGATGGAACGAGTGGAGCTAGCGCGCTCTCCCCCTTCTCTCTCTCGCGCGCATTCTTTCTCTCTCTCTCCCTCTCTCTCTCTATTTCACTATCTTTTTCTCTCTCTTTCTCTTTCTCTTTCGCTCGCTCTTTCTCTCTCTCTTTCGCTCTCGCTATTCCCCCCTCTCTCTCTTTCTCTCTCTCTCTCTCTCTCTCTCTCTCTCTCTCTCTATCCTTATCTCTTTCTATATCTCTCTGTGTCTTGCTCTCCCCCTCCACCATCCCAACTCTATCTCACTATCTCTCCCTATCCATTTCACCCATTTCTCTCTGTCTCCCTCCCTCATCCCAACTATCTCTCTCTCTCTCTCTCTCTCTCTCTCTCTCTCTCTCTCTCTATCTATTTCCCCTAGAGAGATGAGAGAGGGAGAAAGCGTAGATGATGAGTATGAGAGGAGCGAAGAGAGGAGAAGAGATGAGAGAGAGAAGAGAGAGATAGAGAGAGCGAGAGAAGAAGAGAGATGAGAGTAGAGAAACGAGCAAGAAGAGAGAGAGAGAGAGAGGGAGAGAGAGAGAGAGAGAAGGCGAAGAGATCTAGAGAGAGAAAAGAGAGAAGAGAGAAGAGAGGAGAGATAGAGAAAAGAGAGAGAGAGAGAGAGCGCGAAAAGTAGGGGTATAAGTGTGAAGAGATGAGGAAATTAATCGGAGATAAGAGCACGAGCGTAGCCGAAAGAAAGACGAGTACATTAGAATATGGAGAGGACGAAAGAGATAAATTCCTTAGCAGAAACGAGGAGGGGGGGCGGGAAAGCGAAACAGCGTAAACAATCTACAAAGAAAGCGTAGATAAAGAGATACATGCAGACTTAAAAACACTTCAGCGCCCAGATCAGGTAAACGAAATCAACAAAGCTATTAGATAAGCTACTTTGAGAAATAGATTATCTTTGCTCACATCCCACTTTGTGAATTTGAGGTACGCTCTTGCGCATGCGAACTGCGGTCTATGACTTCGGCGCTGACCAGGACCAGCCCGGGCGTGTGTATTGCGGGGCAGCGAGAGTGACGTTGACGCCCGTCCTCACCCGTCCCGCACCGGCCATACTTCGCTGTGTCACATATTCACCACAATCTGCAACATCATTCTACACTAACTAAATCTATATTCGCTCCTAAATGCCTCTAAAGTCGCGCTGCATCGATCTAACGTTATGGCAGATCTGTCGCGGGAGAATACGGAGGTGAGAAGTCTTGGTGAGTTGGGAGGGGGACTGAGGGTAAGTAGAGACACATGACTGTTGTCAGTTGTGCGTTTGGGGCTACCGAAATCAAAAAGGCAAAGTCGGGGTCGAGAGTGGGGCTGGAATAGAGCGTGACTACAGGGACAGATAAAATTGGTGTAGCGGGGCATACAATTAATTGTATAATCAACGATACAATAGAAGGTAAATCCATGGGGTGGTGGGATAGCGGCGTAAAAAGCAGAGTGCAATGTAAAGCGGCCTTCGAGGAGCGAGGGCAAGGGTATCACGAGCAGGCAACACCATTAGGGTGTCTCGTCGCTGCCCGAGCACGTGTATCTCCCTGGAGGTAGAGAGTGGCGGCCAGCGAAATTGGAGTATTTAAGGCTTCACATTTGAGGATGGGGCAGGCAAGGCTAGACATCGATGAGGCTTCGGGATTGATGGAGCGGAAG